TCTCTCTCTATTGTCCTGGGTAGAAGATGCCATTGCTGCCTTCAGAAGCATGAAGGAGACCCTGCCTGCTATGCTTCCATGTGTAGGAGGAGTCAGGAGGGTTTGCTATGTCATCCTAATTGCTTTATATGAGAATGTCCAGGAGGACCAATTTCTATAAAAACTGTATTTCTAATAATTTTCACAAATACCAAATGGAAGTTCGTACTGAGAAAAAAATAAGAACACCTCATTCTCTCCCCTGACCCTAGATGGATTTTGTTATACAACCTTTTTACCTGCTTTTGGTTTCACCAATCCAACTGCAAGGATGGTTTCACTGAGACCATCAAAATAAGCAAGGTCTCCCCTATAAGGAGCAAAACAAAAAAGCTGCATTAAAATATAAAAGAGATTCAGAACGTATTTGTCAAAGTAGCTGAATTGGAATTGGTTAGTACAACATTTTGATTTTTATGCAAATCATACATACGTATCACAGCCAATTTCCAGTTGAATATATGTGTGTGTATGTATACACACACACAAATATATATTCATTCTAGGATACAAATTCTTCATCTACGTACCCATCTTCATAATTCCACATAAAAATATCGCTATCAATGGTCAGCCATGCCCTACTGATCTCAGGAAACACTCCCATCATACAATTGCACTGCATATCTGAAGTACCCAGATTTAAGGAATAAATACTTGGAACTTAGAAGATTATCTGACATGATATAGGAAGAGATCAGGGCAACAATATATATATATCCAGATCTCAGTATTGTCCTGGACACACAGACCCGAGAATACATGTTATTTTTTTTTTAATTACACAGATGTTCAACTGCTAAGTCTTAATCTTGTCTGGCACCAATTTAAATAAAAGCAATTTTTTAAAGCAAGTCTATCCCAGTGGGGAAAAAAATTTACCCACAGGACAAAATCCTTTATTTTTAAGCATAATTTGAAAAAACAGTGCCTATATCCCAGCCCTTCAAAACAAATCAAGAAATAGAATTTTCTAACCCATTTTTCAATCTTTGAGGAAAAAATTGTGTCTTTAACTTTTCATCTAAAAATGTGTTTCACAAAATATATTATTGCAAAATGAATAAAAGTGCTTTCTTATATTGCAATAAATATACAGTATATACATACACACGTATATATAATTGTACTGCTATTGCAAACACTATGTTGCAATAAGCTTTCTTCACACAAGGGAAAATAGTATTGACGATGGCTTTATGTATGTCCAAATTTAAAAAATTAATAAACAGAAGAGAGAAATAAATGAGGCCAAGAAAGATTATATGAAGATGCTGGCAAAAATAACACTAGAGTGAATAAGGAGGAGCTTATTTTTCAGGGTCATCCTCCATCCCACCCATCTCACACAGTAAAAGGTCCATAACATTTCACTAATATCATCAAAATTAGGATACGTCCAAATTGCTCAACAAGTTCGTGGGGTAAAGGAACTCTTCGAATTGAGCTTATTTCTGGAAGACAGGGAATCGAAAGAAAGCCAGGCCCCTGTAATGGATAATCCATATCTGACATGCCAGAAACGGAGGGACTACCTGTAATGGGAGGGGGGGGGGGGGGAGGGAAGAAACTGTAAGAAGTAGGAACAAGAAAAATACTGCCATACCAATATGTATCTCTGATGAGATGTATAAATGATTCTCCCAGCATTTTTCTGTTGATGTTTCTGTGTCTGTTTGTCTATTTACTCATAAGAAATTATCTCTGAAAATTATGAGAGAAATGGGGGACACAATTCTTCAAGAAATACCTTCTAAAAAAGATTAAATCCTTCTGAAACACCAGTCCAGACATATGTTCTAAAAAGATTCCACAATCACTGATGTCTTTGAATACCTGGATGTTCCTTCAGGCATTGGGGCCAGGATGTTAGGTGCGTTACCTTGGGAGGCATTATCTCTTTGCATGTTTTGATTGTGGGTTTTGTTCTTGTAGTTGATTTTTTGTTGGGATATTTTGATAGTTGCATGCTACAGAGTTGCATTATTGCTGGAACAATTTACACATACCTAAACTGAATCCTTGATCTGCCTTTCAACTGACTAGTTCAGTTTGTTTTCTCTCATTCTATCAAACACTGATTTTGCCCTAGAACAGTTTTCTTGCATTTAGATTTTAAAAAGATAACACACCAATCACTCTGATTTGAATCGCCCCCTTCGAATGAGCTTGAGATCCACCTGCTGAGACACCTCTTGGCTACCTTATTAAAAATGGCAAATTAGAATTTGGAACATTCTTCTACCATACAAATATGGCAGGCTGGCTGCAAGAGAACTGACAGGTTTACCTGACATATATCTTACTCCTTTTTCAAAGCCAAGTGACCACCTTTTCATTCAATTTAGTCCGTAAAGTTTTCAAAAACGAAATTATGTTTTTAAAATCTTCCTACTCCGGTAGGTTTTATTCTGTAATTTTCTTGGCAACAATACATAAATGATTTGCCATCACTTTCAGCCAGTATGCCCCTTCAACCTCCCAGGCTAATTACGGTTTCTCAGAGAATTAGGTCGGACTTTGCTTAGTTGTTTTCAAGGCCAGCTGTAGGCTAAATGCTGTCTGCTGGGCTTTATAGCTGCAGTTGTTAAGTAGTTGCTTTTATTTTTAATAGATTTTCCTATTTTGCATTAAGTTTCATCTGACCATCCTATTTTATCATCATAATGGCAGCAAAGGAGGGATCTTAACCCCATGTCCCATCATAAAAGCATGTGAGTACTTTTGCCATTGGCAAGGCTACATTAACGGCCTTGGAGAGGCGCCTCCAGACACACGAGATTGGTGCTGATAGGAGTGCACGGTTAACCATTGGGCAACACTGCCGGGGGACCACGGGCCTGACGGAAGGGGCTCTGAGCCTTCAATGAAGCGACTTAATCACCGCAGTCAGAGGTGTGAGACTGAAAAGGGGAACGGCAAAAAAAGCGGCGCCTTGCAGAAGCAGGGATTACAGGATTCCTGGGCAGCATGCATGCCGGGCGGGAATTATGTGCGTTGTAGCCCCAACTGGGCGCCAGGCGGGAAAGACCGACGCTCCCCAGCAAGACATTCCTGCCCGCGCGGACTCGCTTACCGGGCGCGGGCACGTTCAGCAACTCCGAGAGGTCTGGGTAGCACCGGTCATCCTGGATCTGCCGGTCGATGATACGCCCCGCGTTCTCCAGGGCCTCCTGCAAGGCCGGGGCGGCCGCGGGGTTCAGAGCGACCGGCATGGCGGCGGCGGCGGCGCGAAAGATCCCGGCCTCCCAAGGGGTCCAACGCGGGCCAGCAGGGAGCACCGCGCCTCGCGGGCAATCCCGGCAACCCCCGCGCGCGCGCGCGACTGCCCACCCACCCGACGCAGCGGCTGACCAGAGAGGAGCGAAGGCTAGAGCGGAATCATAAACGCACACTTCCGGCCAGTCGGGTCGACTGGGGGCGAGGCGTCCCCGCTTTCTCTGGCTGTAGGGCAGGGCTGCCGTTTTTTAGCGGGAGCAGCCGGAGGTGCCCGGAAAAGTGCAAGCAGCGGGGGCAGGGGAAGAAGAGGAGACGAGTGTCGTTCCCTGTTGTTGGTCCCTGGGAGTGTCATGTGGAGATATACTGCTCCTCATCATGGAGGCTCCATAGAGAGTTGGAGATAGTCTTGTTCTCCCCTAGTGAGTCTCCTCCCAAATGTAAAGCTCTTTAAACTTGTGGTAAAAGCACGACTTCCCTGTTTTCAGCGGCGCAGTGAAGTGGGATTTGGGAAATGCTGCTTTAAAGTAAACGGCGGTTTTGTTACTGGGATTATTTTATTCAAATAATGCATTGATTCCAACATGCCCACGACTTTACAAGTTACCCTCCTGGCATCTCCGGCAGGTCTAACCTATAGACGTGTGAGATGAGCAACTATATAAGTTGGATTAATACATTCATACCCACACCTCTGCATTCAATGTGTGTCATTCTGCAGAATCCAGGCTGGTGCAGCACCTGCCTGACCTGACTTGGCTGGCCGAAGAAACTAATATGGTCAGACCTGGTTAGTACTTGGATGGGAGACCACCGGGACATCCCAGAAGCTCAAAATAAGCTGAAGTCCACAAAGCAGGGAAGGTCTTGGTTCTTGCCAAGAAAACCTTCAGCTGTGTTCATGAAGCTACAAAGGAGACCTGACCAAAGCCTGCAGAATTGCTCTTCAATCCTACTTACTCTATGGGACTGAATAGACATCTCTGGATGGAGCAGGACATCACAAGTTTTTTAAGTGTCTGTGTGTGTGTGCGCCTTCAAGACAGAGTTCATTCCTGGTGACTGCCTTGGCAAGTCACTGTAGTTTTCTTGGCAAGGTTTTTTCGAAGTGGTTTGCCCTTGCCTCCTTCCTAGGGCTGACCCAAGGTCACCCGCCTGTCCTAGCGGTTAAGGTGGGACTAGAACTCACTGTATCTTGGTTTTTAGCCTGGAGCCTTAACCATTACACCAAGCTGACTCTCTCGTTGAGTCTGTAAAGTGGTGCAGACCACCTTCATTTTGACCCAAGCACGGAAATCAGGGTTAAGTTCATGCATAAATCTGCCCACAGTCTTTGATTATGTGCCCTCAAATCATTGCCGACTCCTAGCAATCACATAGCTAGATCTTCTCCATGACCATCAGTCCCTAACCTGGTCTTTCAGGTCTTCCGAAGATTCATAGGTCTTTTTTTTTAACCCCTGGCAACTGCCTGAACTAATCCCTGCAGTTTCCTGGGCAAGAATTTCGGTAGTGGTTTGCCATTGCCTGCCTCCTTGGGCCCAGAAAGAGTGACTGGCCCAAGGTCACCTGGGTGGCTTCGAGCCAAGGCGGGACTAGAAGTATCCCAGTTTCTAGCCTGGTGTCTTAACCACTGTCCCCAGCTGGCTCTCTCTAATCTGTCGGAGCGGTCATTTCCCCTCCGGCCACTAGAGGCCTCTGTACCCTCCCCAGCGGGGAGACGCCCCCCGCTTCTTCCAAAGCGCCGCTCCCTCCCCGCTGTTTTCTGCGGCGGCTCCAGGCGAGCCTTGCCCCGCGGTCCGGATGGAGCAGCCCGCGGTGGAGAGCGGTGAGTGGCGCGCGGGTTGCTTCTCTCCCCTCGCCCGCAAAGGCAGCTTGCTCGCGGGAAGCGGGGCTGAATGTTTCTGTCTCCTTGCAGAGGCCGAGCCAATGGCAGGAGCGGATCCGGAGCTGGCGGCCACGATGGGCTTCTCGGGTTTCGGTGGGTTGGGGGGGGACCGCGGCGGCCGTTGTCTTGAGGAGCGGCCGGGGGGGGA